CCTCCCGTGCGGACTCCCCTTTCTTACTTGTAAATTGGACGACGATAACTACCCGGGCCTTGAGACACCCGAACCGCCGGGCCACCAACGTATCTCAAGAAACAAGCAACACGCGAGACGATGCTCGTCGTGTTTATCAAGCATGCATCGGGGCAAGGCGAGTTCGCATTATCGGACGCGTCGCTCGCGTGACGTTGCCCAAGCTTTACGAAGAAGGGCGTCGGGTCGCTAGGGCGAGGTATCGGGTATGGAGGTATAAGCGTGGAGCGAGCACGGCCGGGACTGAGGACGCACGGCGGCGCCTCCAAGGGGCGCGGATAGTCGAAGGAGCGAAAGAGAGAGCACGAGAACTGAGAGAGAGAGACGGTGAGCGCCGTAGTTCAGACCGTCTCAGTAGAGGAGAGACAGTGAGAGAGAGCGAGACAGCGAGTATATTCAGGACGTGGAGGGGATAGCGAGGGTGGTCGTGGACCTCGGGAGCCTCCAGTAGGCGGCAGCACTGCGGCCCGCGCGTATCGCAGTTCGTGTCCGACTCTCTTACACGGCTTTATTCATTGACGCCTCGGCAGGGAGCCGCCGGTTTCTTGCTTGCCCTGCCGTCGACGTTCCGGGTCAGTTTTGTTTTTTATTCTTTCGTTACACCATCTACGTGCTTGCAACCTCTCGGCCCGTTTCTCTGCCGTTCAAATATTTTTGTTTGTTTTCTTTTTTCCGAAGGATGCGGTCTCTCTCTCTCTCTCTCTCGCGTTGTCGTAACGTCACGTAAAGGGCACGACCATTGTAAATTTTCGCATTGACAAATGTAGATCGGTAATAATAACCGGCCAGATCTCGTCTGCACTTGCTCAACGGTTATTACGCGTCGTTACGTGCTTGGAGTCCTTGAAGATTACGCGATGCCTTTCGCACTAATGCGTGACTATTGGAGTACAGTACGCTGAACTCTTGGGATATATAGTTAAGAATAGCCTAGAGGCTTTTGCCACGTCAGTGTTATATATATAGTGGACATGAGGAAAGTTTAAGTGGGGGAAGTCTTTAACTGATACACATGTACGTGGATATCGTACAAACATATATATATATATGATTTTATCGTTTTACGTGCACTTTGATGGATGATTTATACTAAGAATATATGTCTCTCATTTTCATTGATTTCCTTTAACTTGAAACGTGATATGGATTCTAGCGATTCTAACTAATAGCATTGCTTAGTTCGTCGGCTAATGACGAAAGCTATCAGAGACCAAAAATATTCCTCTCAGTGGATCTATACGTCCTATACGCGTTTAAGAGTAACGGAAGTGCAGTGATTTGTAAGTGATGAAATAAAGAAAGAGAAAAAAACCGTGATTGATAACAGTGACGACCATTAATGGATAATAAGTCAAGATTGACTGCCAGACTGAAGAAGTCAAACGACAGTCAGTGATATACAGAGTCTCGTAACCTTTCCACGCAGTAAGTAAGTTCAGCATTCAGTATAAATTAAAATCTCGAGAGTCTCTTTATACTCAATCAATCATAATCGCCATTAACCTTCAGCTTAAAAAAAGAAAGTATCGCCAGAGTGAAATATTATTGACCAAATGTCGCCACAGAGCCACAAAGCAACGAGCACAGAACAAACGAGACTTTACTGTGGCAGCCGTACATGGGCAGCAGCCCTAAATACTCTTTTCCTTTCTATCAGCCCCTCGTTCAGTAATGTCAAGCAGAAGTCACTGTTTACTCCGTAAAAACGATAGAATATCGAGAGAAATTAATTGAAAGATATAAAAGAAAAATAATCCAGAGGGAAAAATAAAAGAGAACGTGAAATATAACCGATACTCCTCGAATCACAGAATTATATTGAGTAGAATAGAGGGGAGGCTTCCCGGTGACCGGGCACGAGAATAATCTGTATGAGGAAGAGAGAGAGAGTGAATCCAAGAGTGATACAAGGAGATATGCAAACCGGAATCCATTATGCAGAGAAAGCGAGTATATAGAGGGAGCGATGGAGCAGGAGAGATCAGAGTATAGAGCTGAGAACGAATTTCTGTTGGCAGTCAGATAACCCCAGTACGATCGATCGGAATATCTGCCGCTTCAGTGGCACACAGATAGCTATATACATACATACGTACTCAGGCATTCATACACTTTGAGAATATGTATATACATACGTAGCCGTAAAATCCGAACAGAAACATAACTCTACTACGCAGACACCGTATGTGGACGTATAACCATATACGTAACGTATCGAATTCACATACAGAGTCCTCGTATGTAGATCTCGATCCTATTGGGTCTCCACTCTCGATTCCACGCGACTCGAATACTAACGCTTTGCTTTATATTTAATTGGCCGCTTTTCCTTCCATCGAAACCGACCTTTACCCTCCGCGTCGTGCACTCTATATGCACGTTAACTCCTCGACACTCGGGTCGGCCATTTTGCTAAAAATTTAACCATCAAATTAATAATCCTTCTCACTCGAGATTTTCTTTTCTTTATCGTCCACTTATTTTTCAGTACACATACTACACGCGTGGTTATAGAAATTTTTTGGGGATACCAACATATAAGGTCATCGACCTAGCTGCACGTATAACGTGTTTATCAATTTCGTTATCAATTCCACGTCTAATCCGGTACATTGTATTGGGGCAAAATGTAAAGTCATCTTATCTCAGATACCGGCTCTCGTCCGGTATACCTATAGATACAATTTTCGTGAACTCGCTTTGACTAAACCCTAATACCTAGTCTATCGGTTGCTTGCTAAACAGTACTTCTCCAAGTACGTCTCCGTATCGGCATTCCTACTGGTATTTGACTTGTATGCCAGGGCAAGTATGCGCATAGATAGCAAACGCGAATCGGCCAAAGCGATACGCGAGATACGATTTGAATTCGTGGAGTGTATAATATCGTTTGGTTATGACGGGGTGGGGATTGGCGATGGCGCGGGGGAGGGGAAACGACACACGATCATACGAGTGGAAAGGTTATGGAATCTTCTTCTTCTCCACTTTTTATCCCCCCCTCCCCTCCCCTCCTACACAGTCCCACCCCTCCTTCGATCGAGCTCATCGCGTGACGTTTCACCGATTTCCATCGTGGGAAAACTTTCTTGGGCACATACGACGTTCTTGGCAAGCACACGTGTGCCCGAGTGAAAAAAAATGATCGATTCTTCTTGGTTCTTGCGGTCATATGTGTTATGCGAGACATACGTGGACGTATCTATCTCGCGCAGAAAATCTTGCTCTGGGTAGGTTATGCAGTTAGAAGGAACGAGAAGCTAACCGGTATTTCGAACCGGTTGCGTATACGTAAAAATATTTACGCAAACCGGGAAAAATTGGTGATGCCAGTGAATGAGATTTTCATATGTGAGTATGTGGACGTGTTTGAGTATCGAGTTTCGTGATATTTTTTTTTTTCTCTACCTTTTTATCACTCGCTACGATTATTCGACATTTTTACACGTGATTCAGGTATACGCGTCGAGTTGCTTGTTAAACGTATATGGTATACCATATACGTACACGAAATCTAAATTACCCCGTATATGCACAGTGCGGATCGTTTGGCAGACATATTAATCATCAATTGGATTTTCATATGTCGGAAATGCCCAGGCTAACCCAAAAGACGTAGTCACTCTTCCTGCTGCATTCTCTCGTATTTTCACCCTGCTGCCCCCCCCCCTCCCCCCCTATAGTATACTTGGCTTATGTGCACAAATCGTACACACAAGTCTCATATATCTATATACAGGTGTATGACCGGATAAGTATTTACGCACATAGCTTTAGTACGCTTACGTCTTGTATGTACGGCAGCCAGGGAATTCGGTGCTCTAGGTGAATACTTGGCGACGCGCCAGAGACTTTAACCTCAATTTGCAATAAAACACTCCGTTCCTGGGAATCCTACGGCGTCTCGGGATTCTTTAGCCGTGAAATTGTTCGCGCGGAATTTCAGGAAGGGTCCACGACCACGCGGACCCAGACTGTCCGTCCCACGTCGTTACACCCCTTTTGAAATCCTGAGCCGAACTCGCCGCAAACTTCAGGTCAGAGGGAAGTAGGGAACGATTTTTGCCTAGGAGTGTACATTCATTAGAATTTTTTTTCGAAGCCCCTCAGGCCGGTGGTGAATTCTCTGTCAGCGTCCCGACAGTCGTATATTGCATACATTTGGTATGCACGTTTACACGCATGCCTCATGTGTGTCTGGAGACCGTAGTGCGTTTTCTATGACGCCCCTCTCGGTTCCTCCATTCTCGAAATTACCAGTGAGCTTCCCTCCTTGTCGCTCTCCCGTATCCCTCCCCCCCCTAGTCCCTTCCTCCAACCGCGATAGGAATCCTCCCGGCTTTATTTATCTCGGGCGTCGACTCGCGCTCACCGTGCCGCGTTTATCTACGGTAATAAATGCACGAGTTAAACAAAGCCCTGGGTCTCCCCGGGTCTCCCCCCTGGCTCTTGCCGGGCTGGACTGGTTGCCTTTTACGAGCGACAACAAAGACCCGCAGAAGAGACGAGGACCGAGGTTGCCTCGGGAAGCAACTTTGCGATTATCTTGGTTCGAGCTCCGAGAAAGAGGTCTACCCGTGAGTCGCCACCCATGGTCCGGTCGAGTCCGTGCTGTCGAGGGATGCTGACGGTAGAGAGAGAAGGACAGCGAGCGACGACGTTATAGCGAGAGTGAGAGAGAGAGTGAGAGAGAGGGTGTTGGGGGAGACGGAGAAGACAGGAGTAAAAAAATAGAATATGGGCCACGTTTGACTCCCGAAAGTTTACGCTTAATTGCCAAGGAGGGTTCCGTTGAGAATCGCCTTGCGGATCGCCTGGCCAAATCGAGCGGCCGTATTCGGGTAATTGGCCGTCTGGGTCTCCTCGGACGGCGTCACGAACACACCGACCCGAAGGAATGCACACGCACGTGCTTATTTGAAACGGAGTAAAAGCGTATCTCTCTGTGTTTTACGTTTCAGCCACGACCAGGTCGCAGGCCTCGCGGACGTCCCGGTAACTCGACACTTCAGCCGGCTCCACGTATCCAGAGTCCTGTTCCGCAGCATCTCGAGAAAGGTATGTACCGTTTGCTTTTAATGCCGCATGAGTCGTAGCGCATCCTGCTGTACTTGGCTGTATCGAGCCTCGTGCGTTTGGATATCGGCGATAATGGGGGACATACGGGTTGAAATTATTATACGTACGGCGAGAGTGCACTGGGCCGTCCCACGCGCGGGCATTAATCCTTATCGGCCAATAAAGGCTTATCGGACGATTTTCGATACGTCACTCGTGAATCACGCCCACCCAATTTTGGTCGTTCCAGGCAGACACGGGGAAAGACTTTTTTAACCTGTGACTCGGATAAGGATCAGATACCGCGCTGTCTATCTCGCTGGAATATTAACGAGCTTCTCATTATCGTTATGCACTTTGTTTCCCATACTATAAATTTGCATTGAAAATTTAGGCGCTGCTATCGGTTATCGCGTATACGTGGTGCCGTGAATATATATATATATATATATATATATTTACACGTAAAGCGGCAATACGCTTCCGCACGACGTTTTCGCCCTAAAGTATTTGACTTGGTTCATTCATGAGTCAAGCGTCCGACCCAACCCAACCCAGAGCACTCGCTCCCTGGAATCAGACCACCGCAAGCAGACGCGACACCCGTGCCTGCCTTGGAGCCGAGTACGGTGCGGCAGGGAAGGCCACGTGCGAGAAAGAGAGACGAAAGTGCCGGAGGGGAAATGCTGGTGAGGACTGAAGCGGGGGGGGGCTCTGCAGGGTTCCTCTAGTCAGCGGAGGTAGAGAACAAGAAAAGAGGGAGCAAAGGGAACGAAGGTAGTGGCGAGTGAGCGGGTAGGCGGTCAGAGGGAAAAAGGATGAGAGAGAGTGAGAGAGAGAGAGAGAGAGAGAGAGAGAGAGAGAGGGAGATAAATGGAAAGGAAAAGAAAGGGAGTAAAGGGAGAAGCACGAGCGCCAGCCGGGGAATAAATGGTTCGAGGAACTGCGAACCGGTCCACAAACAAAAGAGTCGTTGGCGGCTCAGCCTCCGGCCCGGACTCGACTCCGGTCCAGCCGGGTGAAGGGAAAGGAGTAAAATAAAAAGGGAAAAGGAAAATGAAAAGGAAGAGGATGATGATTGCGGTGGTATCGGTGGCGACGAGGGGAAGCGAGGGGATGACGAAGGGTAGGAGTGGTTGGGGCAAATGGCACGTGGGGGTGGGAAATAGGGGTTGCGAAGGGGGTCGGTGGTAGCTGAGTCAGGAAAGAAGCAATGCGAAGGCTTCTTCGTTCGTCCGCCCGTCTCTCTGCCGGTTACTTTCCTTATGGGGGCCAGGAGGGTGTCTTTGTTCGCCGTCGAATTCGCTTAATCCGCCTCAATCTGCTTGGCTGGCGTTGTTCAACTTTTTTTCTTTTCTCTCTCTCTCTCTCTCTCTCTCTCTCTCTCTCTCATCAATCAGCTCGTACTCATCGCACCTTACGCACTTCCTTCTGCCTCCGTATACCAACGCGGAGTTACGAGCTGATCGAGTAAGAGCCTGTGCGTCATGTGCTCTTCTCTGATTCGCCGGTACGTGTACACAGATATCCAGACGAGCGGCCGAATCTCCACACTCTGGATGCGCGTCGTGAATTAAGGCTGTCGAGGTAAAATAAAACTGGCCCGTAGCCACGCAGCCCGTAAATGCATCCTCTGGATGCAGTCTAGTTTGCTCGAAGCCGCTACGGGTCGTACGAAAAATCCCCATGGAAACGGATGCTGCACGCGAGTCATGGTAGACGAGTAGGAGGGAGAGAGAGAGAGAGAGAGAGAGAGAGAGAGAGAGAGAGAGAGAGAGAGAGAGAGAGAGAGAAAAGAAAAAGGATAAAGAGAAGAAGGGCAAAGAGAAGAATCGCATTGAAAGAATAAATGAAGAGTCCTGTAAAGCCCGTTGCGTCATAAGGTAAATATAACTGAAAGTCGTAGCGGCCGACCTGCCCAGAGACCATTGGCCCAATAGGCAGGCTCTTCGTTAAGGTATATAACGGGTGACGCAGGAAGTACCTCCTGTCCTCTCCCTTTGTGCTCGCCTCGATTTCACGTAAATCTATTCAAATCGACGTTGCAATTGGCCCGTTATCGGAGACTCGTGAATAATTCAGCGTTTCCAGGAAACTCGAATCCGACGTCAGCCTCGGCGTTTATAAAATCCGGGTAGAATTGTTGAGAACGAGCTACGAGATTGAGAAAACAAATAGAGATACACGGGGACGCTATCTACAGCTTTTCATATTTCTTTACGTCGAGCCTTAAAGTTCTCCGCGCAAAAGGAAAAGAGATCCGGACGGGGTGACTACGGTAATAAAATAACGAGACGTGGCCCAAGCACGTTTCAGGCCTTTGCTCTTTGAAGTCCTCGTCTTCCACGTTGCTGCCGTTTTCTTCTTCCTCCTCCTCCTTCCTCCCCCTTCTCCTAGCGCATGTCGTTGTCGCTGGGTATATAATTCCTTGCATCCCGTCTTCTTCAAGCTGTCCACCCCCCCACCCCCCGCCACCCTCTCGAGCGCCACTATATGCGTCGCAGAAATAAAACAGACACGTGCCGCGTATAGGGTGACACATTGCTGAAAATATCCTGCAGAAAATCGCTGCAGTCGCGACTCTCCCAATAGCCACTCGATGCTTTGACTTTTGGGCGTTTGTCGAATGATTGGACCTCGATGCTCGCACTATCGCTTTAATCTGATTCGCGTCTGACCTTACCCCTTGGGATTTCACGGTACACGCTCCGTCGCAGGATACTGACCGGAATGTTTTAACCAAGGATTACGTCAGTCGGTTAGATCGATAACCCAGAAGATCCTGTCTCTCGCGCATACGTGAAACACTACGTCGAAGGAGTCCGCACTCGTGGAGAATGCCTGGTTACGATGGGTCTCTACCCATCTCTCTAGCCATTCTGGCGATTGTAGCATCGCTCCTATGATGATTTACAGACGTCGCGCACCTGATACCAATAACACGTTGCGTAGGACCCTATCCACGCTTAATGGAGCTGCATGGAAAGTAAGCGGGCAGGAAAGCCGACTGAAATTGTCTGCGGTTACTTACTTCCTCGCTGGCTCATAGCCAATCCGACTTGAAGTCGCTGTCTCGACCCGGATCACTTTTAAATCGCTGCAATTCAGACCACTTCTTCCATGTAATTCATTGTCGGCGAAATAGCATTGTCGCGATCCTATCGCGAGAACACGCCCTCGTGTGATGAAGTAATCGGAGATTTTCACTCGGAACCACAGTAGAGGCCTGGTGCGCATGCGCAGATTAAAGCTCTGTCAAGAAACACGTGGGCGGTCCTCCATGTCCGATAATATATGCACTTACCCGGTATATATAGAGGTAAACAAGTAGGAACCCCTCAAGATCCGCGAAGGAAGGTCGTATATAAATTGTCTATCCACCTGCGTGACATATCCCTAAGGCCCGTCCACACGAAGCGTCTCTCTCGAAACTGACGCCGACACCTTAAAGCGCACCCCGCACCAAGGGGTATATATATACGGTGATAAAAGCGGTAAAAGTATTATTTGATCCGATAAAGCGAGTGGTACAATGAGAAAAATCGTGGATGACATTTTTCGCTAGCTTAGTATGTGAACTCGCCTTAAGCTTGTGAAACGTAAACGTTAACCGGTAACGCTCTACACCTACGACACGAGCGCCATTGTTCATTCGGCAGTAAAACGAAACGCTCCGGCTCGTAAAGCAAGCCAACGGTAGGCCGATGTATTTTATCTAACGGGTGGCTGCGCGATGTCGATGCGATATTGGACTGCACTACCATGCTGCACGATTGCAACTTTTACGTCGCTACATGAAAACTGAACGCACGTGTCATTCACTCCCTATACCATAACCGTGTCTCTCTTGTATGTCATTATGTTGGGTGGCCCTATACGGTCTTTATACAGGGTGGTTCGTTACTATCGAACTCGATTCGAATCCACGTGTATCTTTCGACTACATTTACCTACGGCTAAGAGTATTTACTTAACTATTATCTGGTATAATCTTCCTTCTCGTATTGTCGGTATAGTATTACTATCAACGGCGCTACTGTATACCGACTATCTATACGCTGCTTCTAGTAACCTGTAAGCTGTCTGGGTATATTCGTTACGGTTAAAGTACCCAGAGACCCACGGAGTTACGGAACTCGGATAATTATTATTGCAAACTAGTTTCGAGTTCGCTCTCGAGCCAGACTCTGGTAATGTCGGTATTGTTACCCGGGGAATCTCGACGGCGCGTTCGCGCGACACGCAAGAACTCTCCATTCCAGTTTCACTCTAAATACAGTCTGAGTATCTATGAATATATATATATATATATATATATATATATAT